GTGCTTATTTGACTTAATAATTTAAGATAATGAAGGTAAACATTCTAAAATGTAGATATAATATAGAAATTTCATAAATAATAAATAATAATAAATAAATAATAAATTGTCTATTAGAGAGTTTTGGGTGTTAACATTTCTACATATCTATAGATTCTAAATTAAGGGACTAGAAATTAAATTTTTAAAAAGTAGCTAAACACAAATTTATATTGGAAACAACAGATTAAGAAAAAATTGACACAGTAGGATATTTCTGAAGTATTCTGAGAAAGATACCAGACTCTCTACTCCCAGAAACAACAAACAAAAAATCTTAGGACTTGTGTTTATATTTGTAGACTGCTGTATAAATTGTATAAATTGTGGTTTATGTCCAAGTACAGGTTCTTGGCTCTGATCAGTTTACTTCTACAGTAGTGTACAGAGGTAGAGGGCACCTTCAGGGAAAAAAAACCTCAAAATCAGTCAAAAAGCTTTTAGAAAATATTAGAATACAAGATCTGGAGACAGAGATACCATACACTCTTAAAATCTTTAATTGACTGAGTCAAAAAGAAGCAGTGGAAATCCTTCTTCTGAAAAAAAATTAATTAGTATCAAAATACAATTTCCAATTTGATTAATAGATAAATTTGAATAATATATCTTCCTAAATGTTTATTTTGCTGAAATGAAGCACCGTTCAGTTTGTGTGTGTGTATGTGTGTGTGTCTGTATCTGTATCTCTGTGTCTCTCTGTGTCTGTTTGTAGATGGGGAAGCTGTCGGAAAATGTTTCTAAACCACAGAGGAAACTGGATTGCATGATATATGTATTGGTTAACCTTGGTGATAAACTTTAGGGGATGTAGAATCACCATGGAAACAAACTCCTGGAAATGTGTGTGGGGAAGTATTTAGATTTGTTTAGCAGAAGTTGAAGGCCTATTCTGAATACGAGGAGTATCATTGCCTGGGATCGGATGCTAGTCTGAGTAAGAGGGACTAGCTAGGCAGTAGCCCTCATCACAATTTCCCGTGGAGACAATGTAACAAGCTTCCTTCAGCTTTCCTGCCATGACTTCCTTATCATGTTCAACCTTCAAACTGTGTGCCTAAAGAAACCTTTCATGTCTTCGTGGTTATGGTAGGGTATTTTATCACAACAGTCAGAAAAGTAACTAAACCACCCAAAAATTTCAATTTTATTGTCACTTTATATTCAGTGAATGGTGACAGTAAAAACACATTGACCTCACTGATATAATAGACTCATATACATTTTACAATAACTTAAAATATATCTATAAATGTATAGGTCTTATGAACTTAAGGTGAAATTCTAATTCTCTTAACAAATTTGCCCATTGTTTTTTCTTTAAATTTGCCCATATAAACCATTCCAGTCTCCTGAACTAACCACTGAAGGTTGCACTTCTAAAAACAATATCACTGCTCTAGGCTCTTCATTTAGCTATGTTTCCCTTGACATTATGTTTTAATTCTGAATATTCAGTAGATTTAAATTTTTCTCTCTCTGTCTCTAGAGCGTTTGAATTTCTTTTGTTTTATTTTTGAACTGTCACAATTATCCACAAGATTGCAAGAGTCACAAGAAATTAAGTCATCAGATATCTGCCGTCGAAACAAACCATTCTATATCAAGGATGAGAGAGCACTATATGTGTGTGTGCATGTGTGTGTGTGTGTGTGTGTGTGTGTGTGTGTGTGTGCGTGTGTGGTGCTAGGTGAGTAACTCCTGTGTTGCTAGGCAAGCAATCTTCTAATTGAACTGTGACATTCTCAGCCCCAATAACAAGTTTTACCTAACACTGTCTTTACACATGAAAGCAGTCATAGACATTATTCAAATTACAAAAAAAGGAGTATGTCTTCCTCAAACAACCTTTATTTATACAAGTTAAAAGTTCAGCTTTATAAAATTTACATCTATGATACAATAATGTTATGTTATTTTTATTCACTTCCATATGAAAAGGCTTTCTACTCAAGGTCATATTAGGTATAACAAAGGATCGATTTTATTTCCTGAGACAACAACTCATAGGTTGAGACCCTGGTTCAATTTGAGAGCAGTATTCAGTATGTCATTGAAGAAAAGTATCAGGGCATTTTGTTTTGTAAGAAATAAGGAATAGAGGAATCTTTTATAATATAATACCCTGAGAGGTTTATTATTCACTTTTATTTTATATAACATACTTTTATTTCCATTGTCCCTTAGTTTGTGCTTAATTTTAATCCCTATCATCACGTTTAAAACATGAACTACTTGTTCAGCATGTAGAAAATCCTTCACATTTATGTTTTCTCTTCAGTAGCTATTTCTTTTGATATGGAGTTAATTCTTTAGTATTTAACATTATACTTTCAACTGGTCTTTAAATCTAGAATCTTGTCAAGCAAATCAGCTTAAGGCACCATTCTAATAACCCACTGGGGTCCATTATGTTCAATGTGACATCTCTGTCAGCCATTTTCTTTGGGAAAAATAAAACTTCCCTAAACTCCATTTAATTAGTAAGACAAAGTAAGTTTTCTAAATGAGATTTGAGCAAGGGAGTGTACTAATATCACACACAGAAGCTTTGGTCATTAGCTTAGAACCTGGTTCTGTCACTGAGCATACGCAGGTTTTAGATGTAAAATGAATGCTGTCTGTCAAGAAAGAAGCCCTCTGAAGATGGGTTTTTCAACAGTTCTACACACTAGTTGGTCTTTCCTTTGATAGTGCAGTGGGAACTGTCTGCTCTCTGCAATTAATCTCAACTATAGCAAAGTTTCTCCTGTCCTTGTTAGCATCCTGATTTATACCATGATCCAGAGCTTCCTCAACTCTATCTGTTGCCAATTTCTGAAAATATTTGTCCCAAGAGATGAGGAAGTGGCATATCAGCATGACTTAGTAGGTGCTGGCATGCTTTTGAAGACATAAAGCTCCGTTACTTTGTTGTCCCCTCTTTGGACATTTCCTTCCTTCCTAGATCTCCTTCCTTTGCATTCTGCAACTTAGATCAAGAAACCACATAAATATTTTTGAATTTGTAACAATATAGTTATGGGTAGATACCTAAAGACAATTCCAAAAGAAAATTAACTTCTTCCTCCTACTTAGCTCAGTTTAAACACAGTTATTAAAAGCTGCTTCCAGATTGCAATATTACAGTTAACATGAATTGTTGCACAGACAACTGCATGTAGATAGAAAAGTAGTAATCCAAATCTCCTGATATTCCTCCATGTTTTCAAATTAAAAATATAGAAGGCATAACCTCCTAATATATAACTCTACTTTTAAACTGCTAAATCTGTGCCCTAGACTTTTTATTGTTATGTTTTACCTGAAAGAGAAACTGCAGGATGTTTACATTTGAAAATTATGTAAGTATACTAAATGGTTCTATGTGATTTTTTGAAACATGAATAATTGCCTCTTTTTATAGAAACAGCTTATTTTTAATTATGTTACAGGTAACTTTGTGTCTGTCTGTGTACATACAAGTGTATGTGCTGCCAGAGTCCAGAAGAGTGTGTCAGGTCTCATGAAGATTGAGTTACAGGCAATTGTAACATGCTTGAAATGGGAGCTAGGAACCAAATTCAGATTTTTCTCCATGAGCAGTAAGTGCATGCTCTTAACAATAAATCACATCTCTAGCCCCAACATCTTATAATTAAAACTAGTATTATAAGTGTTAAAATAGCATACAACACAAGAATAAGCATTCTTTTCTCTCTACTTCAAAGGTCATTTCTATGAGATTTTATACATGTCATATTCTTAGTGCTAAGTTTTCAAAAGTAGTAAGTGTAATAATGGCAGAATGTCTTTTGAGGAAATGTGACCTCACTGGCTTGCTCCCAGGGAGTAGATTTTATTAGTCGATCTTGGTGTTCTGCAATGAAATTTGATGCCTCATCTTATCCAATATTTATACTTTGAAAACTATATGAGACAAGCCTCTTCATCAACAGAAACATTTTTAAACAAAAAAATTCTTTTTAAAGTAAGTAAATTTTTTTAACATTCTTCCAGCATTTTTGTTGGTATGATTTTTAATTTTTAAGACAAAGTTGAACTCAGTATTAGTCCAGCTAGCCACTAGCGTGAGGATCTCCAGTCAGCCTCCCACACACTGGAATTACAGCTGCATGCCACCACACCTTATTAGTACACAGATAGGTTGGGTAGGACATACTCCAAAGCTGCAATGGATTGACATGTATTATAGTAAGAAAAATACAGGTTATTGTCATACTAAAGGATGACAATGCAGCAAAAGCTATTATTCACTCACTTTAGAAATTGATCTACTTTAAAAACTCTTTTGTTATTTCTTATTCTTCACATCATTTGACAATTTCAATCTAAATGCATGTTGTAATATAGTAAAAAATGATATATTTATGCATCTATCATGCATGTACACATACTTAAATTAATAAACACATAACAGAGAGTGAATATGATAAATATATAATATCCACATGTATAAAGTGTACATAATTACACTACTCTCCATTACAGGATATTCTAAAATGTATAAATACTCAACTTCATTATTTTACACACTGTTTAGACAATCATCCATATTGAAATAATCACATTTTATATGCTAACTACAATGAGAAAGAGTGTTTTATATTTTCAATGTGATGTGTTTAATAAGCGACAGAATTTTGCTCCCAAGGTTGTCTGAGTGTCCATACCTAAAGGCTTGTTAGACTATTGATAGACCTATATACAAACATCCATGTGGGTAAGAGCCAAGAGAAGTTGAACCATATAACTTACTCCCCTATGTTCTTTGTATTAACCAAGAATTTAAACTTGCTCAAGCTAGTTTTAATATCTTACCTTACTATATGTAGTTTTGTTTTTCCATTTACACTCACAGATTTTAGAGGTGAGATTTACTTATGGGGATAAAACAAATGTACAAAGGTTTGGTAATTTAAGATGAATATTCCAAATCAATAATATGATGAGACAGTTACCTTAATAACTGATGTCTCCACCCTAGATGGAGGACTTTGAACTTGTGCCGCTGCCGCCATATTTGCAATGGTACTAAGGTGGTTCATCTGGCTCATTGCCATGGTGACAGATGCTGGAGGTAGGCTTACAGGGATTAGAGGATGGGGCATCATCATAAAAGGAAGTTCCAGTCCTAAAAACAGAAAACACATAGATCATCATTGATGCGCTCCAGTTGAAATTATCAATGACATGTCATTAAGAGTTAAACCACTAGAAAATACTTTAATAGTTATGGTCAAGGAAAAAAACGTTTATTTGTATACAGTAATATTCACTCGTGACTGGGAAGTTAAATTTACAGTTTGTTGCCATAATTCATCACATCATTGTGTGTGTGTGTGTTTGTGTGTGTGTGTGTGTGTTTAATACAAATATTCTATTCTTGGCTTTATTATTCCTCTGGGCAATGTACCAAATTATAGACATGCTATAGTTTTCATTGATTAACTGTATATTCTTTTACCATTCTGCTAATCATTAAAGCAAAAAATTTAAAACTACCACTTTTAGTGCTAAAAATTGCCATCGTACCATTTGGCAGAAGGTGGCTGTGCTGAAGATGGTTGAGAGGATGACTAACTGGAAGGCTATACGCAGCAGGCATGCGGGCATGTGTACCAGGCGCCTGAGATCCCTGGGATGGGGAAGAGTGCAGTGTTTCCTTATCCCAAGAACCACCACTGCTGCCTGTGGGGAACGAATATAAATTATTTGGATATAATATTAATCCAAATCATCCCGAACACTAACTTTAAATGAGATCTGAGAAGGATTAAGATTAGGGAACTAGCAATTTTGCTTGAAGGGAAGGTAGCTGAAGTAAGAAAACTTTTCCCTGACCTGTGTTTGCTCATTGTTTTCTTATTTCTTAGACAGTAAGTCAAATTTGAGCAAAGTAATACTTTTGAAACATTTAACCTACTTGGAAAGTCTAATCCTGTGTGAACTAACAAAGTTAATAATAATTTGTCTTTGCCACATAACAAACTCTCCTTTGATCCAGAGTAGAATACATGTTATACAATGCAAAGCTATTCTTTTAGTAAAGGGTAACCTGATCAAGATTAAGTTAAAGTGCATGACTTAATTCAACCACAAATACAAAAAGAAAATGGATTCCTAAGAACAAAATTTGATTAGGCAATGAACAAAAAACACAAAATCACTTTAGGAAACTCAGTATCAAAGCAACATAACAAAGGAGTGTGAATGGGCACATCACGGGCTTTCAAACAACAAGAAATGCAAATTTTGAATTGAAGCAATATCAGTTGTCAAAGTTAACTGTTCATTGTAGAACAGACACTTCAATATTCAGGACAATGTCCAAATAAGTGTTGTCTTTCCACAGCTATTCACCTTATATTTCTGTGTAACGATTTCTTAGAAGGAATTTACAAATCATGTCTTCATATTAGCTAGGCAACATGAATACATTCTTCTAGCATATTTTAATATGAAATTATCCATTTATTTTTCAGATACCTTATGAGTTTATTTTAAAATAGACAAGACTATCAAAAAGATAGAAACAGTGAAGTTGGTAAAACTCCAATTTAATGCTTCAACTCTACAAAAATCTGTGCTGTAAAATCTCTATGACATAGTTTTCAATGAAGTCTACTTAGTTACTGCCATAATACTTTTCCTTTACTTCATGAAGACAGTTAAAGTTCAGTATAAATTCAAACTCATTAACTCAATACTCTCTGCATCTCAGAGCAAATTGTTCAGAAGTGGGTAATGAAAACTCAATTCAAATTCTTCAGCAATCAAACAAAGCCATTTTATTAAACAATGAAAAGAATCAATTAAAATGGATATCTTTATTATTTTACTACAAACCATGACAGTTTTGGTTTTACAAAGTTCATAGCTTTATTCAGAAATGCCTCACATAAAAGATATTTCTCCAACCTGCTTCTACATAAAAGTTCATTTTCATATTCAATAAATTTAGATACCTTATTCTTCTACACAGGATTCTTTTTCTTTTCCCAGCAAATGTGAAATAACTGGACAGATGTGATCTTTCCAAAAGTACCATGTCAAGAGAATACTGGGATCAGGCACTCCAAATAAAATCCCTTTGTTTTACATATTTAAAACACAAGAAGTGAAAATTTTAAGATAGTAAATTTAAAGGACAAACGGTAACTCAAATTCTGTTTGAATACCTGTGGAAAGATAACACTTATTTTCCCATCTCTGCAGCACCCCAATCTGTCAGATTCTTGGTATACAGAGCTGTCAGCAGGCCACATGAGTGTTTTTCTCTGGAAGTTTCTTATGCTACATTGAATTTCTCACTACACGGAAGGCTCTCAGTCATCTCCACCAATCATCATTTGTTAAAGACTCATGATGTTAGCTCATTTAGGTAATAAATAGAGCAAACAATTAGGAATTAAGTCTGATGAAAAATATACAATATATAACCAAGTCAGCTGTAAGTGATTTTTGCATTATTTATAGCATACTCCTTCTCCATTAGCGTGAACGAATGAGAAATGAAAAGCGGCTGCTGAAGAACAAGACATGCTTACAATTAGTAAAGGTATAATCTCAAGCATTTTCATTTTCTACAATATCTGTAACACTATAAGCAAGTATATAAATACACACATGTATATATACTTTGCCTCTATATAATAAATATCCCCAAATATTTAAAAATAATAATCACTTTACACTGTATTTTATTTGAAATAGAATTCATCAGATTCCCCCTCTTTTCCTTTCCTCCAACATCTTCCAGCTCCTCCTTTTTGAAGCCTCTCTGTGCCTCCACCGCTCAAGTTGATACCCTCCTTTTTCTATTATTCTTATGTCTGTGCATGCATACACACACATATATACATATACAACTTGATGAGTTCATCTCATGTTGTTTGTGTGTAAATGGTTTCAAAGCTAACCCCTCTACTATGGGCAATCACTAAGGGGATCATACTGAAAGGAGACAATACTTCTCCCAACAATTATTGGTTGCCTATAGTTCTCTGTGTTGGGGTAGCACGCAACAAAGTTGCTCCCCTTCCACGTTATCAAAGCCACTGCTATTGCCACAGTTACTTGTAAAACAGAAGGGAAAATGTTGGCTTTAAAAAATAGAAAACGTTAGACCATTTTGGTTGCAGGAAAGAGACATAAAAAGATACCAATTCGGTTTTCCGCTTCAGTTTCTCAAGAAGCATTTTCTATATTTTACTGATATTCAAAGTAAGATGATTCCGATACAGCCTTTTCATCTTGAAAGAGATAATCAGTTGTTTCTAACTCAAAGAGTATTTAAAAATATAAAGTGGTAAAAGTCAAAGAAAGATTCGTGGGCTCCTTGAAAAACTCATATTGCTTGGTTTTTCAAAGCTTAGAATTTTCAACGATACTTTAATGGACTTAGCCAAAGGTATTCTCCCCAATTTGAGGCAGATCATGAAGGAACACAGGCTAGATAGTGGATGTATAAGGCTGTATACACTGGTAACAGCAGGACACAAAGGAAATTGTTATGTAATGAAGCCAAGCAGTCAAGCCATAGGTGTGATGAAGTACATACACCGTCGCCACATTTATTTTTTTTAATTTTTAAACTCATAATAATCTTTTACTTGCAATTTCTATCTCCATCCATGATTTAAAGTTTCCTTCTGAAATATTAACTTGAATTCAGAAATTTACTTTTCTATAAATTTTGGTTTATTTTTAGGAACAAGCTCTTAAAATGGAATTTATAATATTATTCTCATTAAAAAGAAAGATAATTAACTCAGATTTTGAAACACAATTCATAGATAAGACAGGAAATAGAAAGTGTCTTGAAAATATGCTTAATTTTTCCTTATTAAATTGCAAAAATGAGTATATGAATGAATGGCACAATTTCTAATCCTACTATAAATAATTGTTCTACCATTTAATTTATTCCTTTAATTCTTATATATACCCAATATTGATTCCACAACAGTTAACTACATTATTCTCAAATATTTTAAATAGAGTACACACAAAATAATATAACAGAAATTATGGTGACCTGTAAATCTTGTTTTAATTATCACACATTAAAATTTAAAAAATATATTTGAATATTGTTTTCATTTATACCTCAGGGACATAGAATGTGTTCTTCTGATTTCTCACAGGTTGACCGTGATAAAGAAGACAAATCTCTAAGGGATTAACAGTCACAGTACTGCTTAGTGAGTGACAATGACAGGCTGTGAAAGGAACCTGACATTGTCAGGATTCTTTGACAATGAAAATGTCAAGAGTGGGTGCTTGCTGCATACCAGTGGAGACCACTTAAGAGGATGTCAGCTTGATCCAACAGTGAAAACATGGCTACTGAGCAAAAGCAAACACTGGTCACAGATTCTACTAGCATTCAACTGTTACTTCAGAGATTAGAAAAACAGATAAAGGATTTTTTTAGGGGAAACATTTCATCTGAAGAGAAAAATAACACATAAAGTACTATGTGTACTTTATGCCGGTTCTAATGTAAACTTAGAAATAGTCCTAATGTGAACTATAAAACAGAGTCCTTCCGTCTGTCTGTTTCTGTCTGCCTCTGTCTCTGTATCTTTCTGTCGCTCTCTGTCATCTATCTTGATCTATCTATCATCTCTCTCTCTCTTTCTCTCTATCCCTTTCTCATTTACCAGCTGTGCCCATTTGATTTAACACGTAAATGCTAAAATTATCTAGGGTTTTTGTTTGGCAACATCACATTGTTTTAGATAAAATAAAATGAGCAATTTTCAATCATTAATATCGGCCTTTCTAATTTCCAAAGGGTAACTACAGGACACGAATCCGCAGGCTACAATGTAATGATTAGAAGAATAATTACTTAAGGGCATCCTCTAAACTGGATCACTTTGTGAAACTAGGGACCAAACTTGAAGACCTGAACTTTCTTCAAGTGTGCTAACCCACTAAGAAGCATCCCTGTGAAACGGCAACACCTTTGAGACCTAGTTACTAAAACACATAGCTGCGGATCGTTGGAAAGTCATGAAAAACAGGAACAGCAATAAGAAACTGAAAATAGAGAAGTATTTCAATTTTAAGTTACTAGGAATTTGAACTCATGAGAAATATTAGAATCAATATTTTGTGCTTGTGTTGAATACAGATCTTGACATACTTTTCCTCTTTTAAATCTAACTCCAGAAGGTTTGATGCAACTGAAAATAAAAGAAGTAAAGCCATTACTATCAAGATAAAAGGTTAAGTAGTATACGTGCAGAAAAAAGGAGTAATTATATCAGAGAAGACGGTGCTGTTTGATGCTATGGCTGTCGTAAGACTCATTAGCACCACACTGTCACTGTTAACCAGATGAAACAGACCCCTGAAACAAAGCAAAACAAATCCAGTGAACCAGAAAACACTTCCATAGGATTCAATGCAAGGGAAGAAAGAGTTGCTAAATTCTTTTATATTTATCAAACTTATAAATCCTGTTAACATATGTGTTAATCTGATTGTAAGTAAAAGTCAAGTGATTTATTTTCCATGGAAATAACGTTGAGCACAGATTTGTTTATTTCCACAGCTGAATTAGACTTTGTGGCAGACATTGATATAGAAATGACCCTACCAGGTATATATGTGAGCTGTCAATCTAAAATATAATCAAACACTTCCTCAAAATCAAGTCCTTTATTATATCATAGCTA